AAAGCTGGAGATGGACTTTTTACAATGGCGGGTAGTGATAGGACAAGGAGCAATGGCTTTAAACTGAAAGAGGGTAGATTTGGATTAGATACAAGGAAGAAATATTTCACTCTGGGGGTGGTGAGGCACTGGAACAGATTGCCCAGAGAGGTTGTGCATGCCCCATCCCTGGAAGAGTTCAAGGCCAGGTTGGATGAGGCTTTGGGCAAGCTGGTTTAGTGGAGGGTGTCCCTGCCCATGGCAGGGGGGTTGGAACTAGATGATCTTTGAGGTCCCTTCCAACCCTAACCATTCTATGATTCTATGATGTATAATTTCTAAACCTTTACCATTTAAAAAGTATTTATGGACTACGACCATGACCTACCCATGCTCTTAAGTCAAGAAATTTCACTTTGCCTGTCCTTATCTGAAACCGTAATGATGCAAGCTGCAGTACCAGATACATCCCCTTCAAACTGGCCAGTCCTTTACGGCCCACCTGCCTCAGCTCCAAGAAAGCATTTTTCATTTTATGCCTCTGCCTTTTTTTTCCCAAGAGGTATGCAACCTTCCAGAAGGGAAGACTAAGTCATATTCCATCTTTTGCCTAACCTTTTCAGTGAGAACATGAAGTAAAAAGGAAACCTTTTCTTCCACAAAGACATTCCCTCTACTGTTTTGTTTCCACTAGAGCCTTGGGCTTGAGCCAGTCTACTGTTTAAACCAAAGGAAATGTTGATGTTTGCATCTGAACTTCCAGGAAGAGGGATTCTAGAGTCTTGCAGAGATTCCTCCTCTAAGAAATCCCACCAGAAACACCCCAAAAAAACCCAACAGGATGTCACACGTCCTGTTATGCTCTGCCATAATGTGTACTCCACTGCCTTTCGCTCCAGAAGCTTCAACAGTCTTTTTCAGGGGAGAACAGGAGAATGGTTGGTGTTCCCAGCGCTCCTGTTCCCAAACTTCTTCAGAAGAATCTGAGATGGTGCACTGGGAAGAAAGCTGAGAGAAAGACACTGTAAAGCGTGGAAAAGTACTAGGGGTCTCTTACTGGGAAAAAGGTTTAAATAGAACAATGAGGTTTTACTTGCTTACTTCTGTCAAAATTCAAATTAGAACAGGAAATCTGGTAACTGAACAGAATGGCTGAAAACAACTGAGCTAGCAGTAAGATGAATTAATTTTGGTAGGAAAAAAGAAAGTCTGTTATGTGGATGACGTTGAGATCTGAACTGCGAAACAGGGAAAGCAGTTTTGCTGTTTGCTGCTTTATGAGATGGGAGAGAGGGGAACCTGGAATTAGGTACGGAGTCTACTGAGAAGTGCAAAACCGCTGGCCTTAGAACACAGAAAAAGGAAAACATGAACAAACTGAATGCAAAGTTATGTCCCACTGCATTGTTGCCAGCAGGATATGAATTTATAATTTCTTATTGCTTCAAACAACTCAGGAAAGAATGGAAGATTTTAAATAGGGAAGAGGAAATAGTGCTAGAGAGACCCGGAAACTAAGCAGGTCTTTAACAGTTTGCAACAAAACTCAAGGGAGAAATTTTCATGTTGACAGCCAGCTGCCACTAGAAGCCAACTGGTCTCAGATAAAGACCATGAATAATACCCTGAGAAAAATGTCATCACAGTCTTAAAGATATTCCTTCCTGCCAAACACAACCTATCACATTTTTCAAGCTTTCGCTGAGAGATCGTTTTCAGGAATGAAAGATGCACATTTCCAAGTGACTCCGACACGCCAAGCCTTTCCCAGCTTGAGGAGTGTGATGGTCTAGGATCTAAGAAGTTCAAATCCTTGAAGAATTTGTGTATTTACAGGGATTACACTCTAAAATCATAAGAGCTACTTGTTTGACTTAAAGAGATACCATAACAGAGTCCTCTGTTTCTAGAGACAAATTTAGTCAAATTTCTATCAAACTGGCACAAGATTTTCTCATTAATAACTAGTAATAACGATAGTGTCTTCTTACAAAGCAAGTATAACTCTTATATGTTAAGATAATTTAATGCCAGGGGCTTATTGTGGTTTAATGATCCTCACAAATAAGAAGTCTTGACAGAGTCAGAAAGTTTTGGTAATCCCTGAAAGACCTCAGGCTATTTCTATTTGCTTTCTCTTTTTCTTTTTTTAACCTCCTTTTATCTTTTCAGAGGTACTTTTTTTTTTTTTTGAGTAAAATTTGCATGGAGCATTACCTTGTTCTGCACAATTGCACCTCTTAGAAGATTCAGAGTTAATACTGTGTCTTTAATATATTTTCTCATTAAGGAGACTAATAAATCTTCTATTTAATCCTCAAAATAAGTAAAACCAGCTTAGGAGCTACAGCAAAATTTTTATACCAGTTTATCAGTGACACTAAAACTAATCTGTCTGAGAATAGTTTGTTCAAAAGAAAGGCTGAATTTTGTCAGGAAGCCTTATGGCCTCTTTTTTGGCAGAGGGAGGGTGTCCATAACTCATGGCTTCTTTGACAAAGTCTTAAAACCCACATAATATTAAGATATGTGGATAACAATTCAGAAATAGGCACATAGGTAAGATGCTTGCCTTTGGAAAAAGATCTCTTTCCAGTTATTCTGTTCTTCTTGGCACTGGAAATCCTATCTTCCATTATGATAGCCAATGCTACCAGCAAAAAACAAAAATAAAAACTATTGGCACAGTTTCAAAGATGTTTTAAAAGCTTTTGTTGTAACAATCCAGTTGCCGTTTTTTGTTCATTGGGAGTTCAGTGTCCTCCTGCTCTTTCTTCAACACACTTCTCCCCTAGAAACTCCTCTTTGTTCATCTTTGCTTTTTAAAACACATTAGTCTAAGCAAAAACGCAGCAAAGAAGGAAATAAGAGTACGAAGAAAGTGCCATACAAAATAACAATTAGCTGGAAAATGATGAACTAGAGCAAGTCCGTGATAACTTGAATATTCCATTCAAAACACAGCAGGTGTCAACAGCACAAGTCAAAATGCCAGTATATTCAGCAAATCAACAGTGTAGGAAAGCCTCTCTGTTTTTTTAGAATCCATGAGCAATATCTATCACACTGTATGAAGCACACATCAAAAAGAGCTTTGGGTTCCTTTCTTTCCTGTTAATCAACAAGTCATTCCACCCAGAGTGTCAGCTGTATCCGTTAGTTATTACTTGATTAGTTCACATGAAAGTGGAGAAGGAAAACATTCACAGGAATCTTGATGAACAACACTATGGGATGATTCCTACCATGTTGCTCTGAGATTGTGTGGCCCCGTACATAGTGATGCCATTTGATGGTCCTGCTAATTGCGGTGTATCTGGTTGTATAAATCCTCTTCTGTCGATCAAGCTATGGAATAATCAACATAAAGAAAAAGTGTTAGAGATATTTCTGACCAGTAACCACCTCCTCTCGACAAAAAGAAAAATTTTCTATCATAAAACAGCCCTTACTACCTCGTCGATACTTTCAAATGTCCCCTTTTATTCAAATGAAGTACAAGACTTCATTTCTACTCATCAGCAAGGTAATTGTTTTCTTGTCATACTACCTGTCACATAGTCATACATACTGCCACTTTTCTGGATTTTTATCCTGGACAAAAGATATAGAAGGTTACCAGCAGATACCACAAAAATCAAGAATTTTGAACCACAGGCGTAAAAACAAATTACAAAACTCACCAGTGCAATTTGAGTCAGTATCTATTTTGAAGCTTTTGTTACCACTTTCCACATCTCTAAATAAAATGGAGCTGTTGACCACAACTCTTTGAGTGCGACCATCCAGCCAATTCCTTATCTACCGAGTGGTCCATCCATCAAGACCACGTCTTTCCGGTTTAGAGACAAGGATGTCGTGTGGGACAGTATCAAATGCTTTGGATAAGTCCAGGTAGACAATGTCAGTTGCTCTTCCCCTATCCATCAATGCTGTAACCTCCTCATAGAAGGCCACCAAATTAGCCAGGCAGGATTTGACCTTAGTGAAGCCATGTTGGCTGTCACCCATCACCTCCCTGTTTTCTATGTGCCTTAGCACAGTCGCCAGGAGGATCTGCTCCATGATCTTGCCGGGCACAGAGGTGAGACTGACTGGCCTGTAGTTCCCTGGGTCCTCCTCTCTCCCTTTTTAAAAATGGGGGTTAAGTTTCCCCTTTTCCAGTCAGTGGGAACTTCACCGGACTGCCACGGCTTCTCAAATATGACAGACAGTGGCTTAGCAACTTCATCTGCCAGTTCCCTAGTCTCAGCTCTGTATAATATTTTGTTCAAGCTGAAAAAACATCTGCAACCTTGAATATGCAAGTATTCTGGATTTCAATAGTGAAAATGTATACAGCAAAAATTAATTCACTAAGCTTTTTCTGGAATTGCTTCAGTGTAGGATGACCAAAGTCAACTTAATGAATATACATTAACAGTAGTATCAATGAAGATAAAATACTGTCCATTTAAATAAAGCAGTTCAGAGTGAAAAGACAGAAATGAAAAATTATCAAGCCAGTTTCAGAACTAAGGTTCCTAAACTCTGACAAACTCATGTCACATTTATTAGATATGTGAGAGTTTAATAAACTTTCAAATCACCCACCATGCCACAGCTAACTACTAGAAATCTTTTACTGCTGGACGTTAACTGCAGTGGCAAAAGTTCAAACAACAGATGAACAAGTTTATTTTCATTTCAGATGTCAACCTTAAATATATTTTACAAGATCTGTTCACTAACTTAGTTTTACCACAATTTACCAACTTGTCTCTTTACTACTGCAGAAAAACTTGATCAAAGCTTCTAACGGACAACAAACCAAAACTTCATCTTCTTGAGTAAACTCAAGCAATCAGAAAGAATATTTTTTTCATCAATTATCATGTGACCTCATTTGTACTGACAATACTTTTGCTACTCTTACCTTGGAGAGAGGGGCCCACAGAGTGCAGCACAGCAATTAGTAAAGATGTTCCCATAACTGTAGGGATTATAGTTTTCTTTACCTCTTTTATTTGACCACGATCCTTTAATCTGAAGAGATATGAACAAGATGCACCTCACACAATACAATACAGAAAACAGCTGAAAAATTACAAAAGGAGCAACCAGCTACCTCCATCAGAGGCAGAGCAGAGAGAACCCATGATCACACTTTCCAAACAGCTTAGAGCTTTGGGCTGGAAGGCTGGACCCTAAAGCCTTGCAAGCAAGCACACGCTTTATCTCCATAGATTTAGAC